ACCGAGGACCCTGCCTTTCCTTGCACCTTTACAGCCTCCAGATGCCTCCAGCAGCCCTGTCTCAAGTGCCACCCAGAGCCACATGACTGCATCTGCCGCTGTGGTTACAGCCTCGCAACCCCTCCCGCTGACCTTCACATTGTCCAGGTTCCCTCGTCCCCCAAAGCATTCCAGCTGCTGCCTCCATGGGTGCTCTGACCCAGGACCCAAAGAAAGCCTATGGGATCTATGGTACAACATAAAGAGAGATAATATTTGCATAGTAGTTAAGGAGAAGAGGGAAAGTGACAGAAAGTTTATTTTAAAAAATAACAGCTGAAAACTTCCCAAATCTAAAGATACAAACATATGAATATAGGAGGCTCAGAAATCCCCAAATACATGAAAAGTTCACCAAGATACATTATAGTCAAACTACGAAAAATCAAAGACAATGAAAAAAATTCTGAAAGTAGCAAGAGTAAAGAAGCATATTACATACAAGGGAGCTCAAAACTGTTATCAGCAGACTTTTTTCAGCACAATTTTTGCAGGCCATGGAAGAGGGGGGTGATATATTCAAATTGATGAAAGAAAAGCAGGCCAACCAAGAATACTTCTCCTGAAAGCTGGGAGAAATGGCAGGCTACCAAGCTTCCATTTTTTAAATCTGCATATTAAATAAGAAGACAGCCAGTTTGAGAAGATCAGGATGCGGCATGGTCCTGATAGCCTTCCAAATGTTCCCTTTGGCTACTCTGGGAGGATGGATGGGGGACCAAGAATCAGAGTCCAGGGGAAATACCTTGGCAGGGAATTGCTGGGCTGGAGGGCTCGCTTGCACAATATCAGGAAACAGGATCAGATCCTGCCCAGCAGGAAAGAATTCCCAGGATGTCTAGCAGGAGAAGGTATATGGGCAAAGGAAGCCAGATGGAGCCACACTGAACAGGCAGCTTTCCATCCTGAGAACTGTGAGGGAGAAACTGAGACAGGATGTTCTGGAACATTCCATACTGATGAACAACTGAAGAATCTGCATGTTACCAGATTCTTGTTACCTGACTGAGACACAAGGAGAATATGGACCCATTTTACAGATAAGGAAACTGAGATTTAGTTAAAAATAATTCCCTTAAGTGACACAGTTTAGTGTTGGGGCAAATGGTCACACCAGGCCAGTTCTGCCTGCGGCGGACCCTGTTGTGACCCATTGGTCCCTTGGGGCCTGATTTTAAAGTGGGAGCTTAGACGACCTCATGTCCATCCCAGACAAAAAACTGGGCCCAGACAGGGAAAGCAGATTGTCCAAGGCATACAGCCACTGGGGCCAAGTGAAAATAGACATTCCTTAACCTTTGGGGATATTTTTCATGTGCTAGCTGCTGGGAATAGGGAGAACAGAACAGCATTTTGCCTCCAAGTTGCTCAGGGGACTTTCTCATCTATAGTGGTCTTGAAACAGGGAAAACCTGAATAACCACCCTCCAGACATAACCAGAGTCACCAGGCCTTAGTTACATAGTTTTAGTTAACTTTACAATCACAGAGTTTAGAGATGCAGATCGGACCTGAGATGTGTGAGTCATGATGGTAACCACAGATGAAGCCTGGTTGTATGCTAGCAAACCACTGATTACCTCTAACCTCCAGTCACAGTGTCCTGTGCCACATCCCATAAATAGCCCAAACCCTGTCCATGGGCAAGTGCATCTAAGATGTGCTCTCCCATTTCCACATGTGGCTACCTCTTTCTCTTTTGCAAAAAAAGAAAAGAAGAAGAAAGAAATCAAGGAAATGGCCCTATTTAAAGTAGCATTGAAAATGAAATTTAGGAATAAATTTAACCAAAGAGGTAAAAGATCTGGACATTAAAAACTATAAAACATTGACAAAAGAAATTCAAGAAGAAACAAGCACAAGGGGAAATGACTATGTTTGTGTATTGGAAACACTGATGTTGTTAATATATGTGTACTGTCCAGATGATCTACACATTCAAAGTAGTCCCTAATAAAAGTCCAATAACATTTTTTACAGAAATAAAAAAGCTCTAAAATGTTATGGAACCATTAGACCACAAATTTCCAAAACAAGCAAAGAGAACGAAGCTGGAGACATCACATGGCCTGATCTCAAAATTAATTACAACGCTATGATAATCAAAAAAGCTTAGCTTACAACAGACACTTAAACCAATGGAACAAATAGAAAGCCTAGAAGTAAACCCACACACTATGGTCAGTTGATTTTTGACAAAAGTGCTAAGAACACATAGTGCAAAAAAGACAGTTTCTTCAGTAAATAGAATAGGGAAAATTGGATATCCACATGCAAAAGAATGAAATTAGACCCTTGCTTCACACCTTTTAGAAAACCAAATGAAAATGTATTAAAGATTTGAACATAAGACCTGAAACTGTAAATCTACTAGAAGAAAACATAGGGGGGAAGTTCCATCATGTGGGTCTAGTCAATGGATTTCTGGATATGACCCCAAAAGTACAGTGAACAAAAGTAAAAATGGAGAAATGGAATTGTGTCAACTAAAAAGCTTCTCCACAGAAAAGAAAAAAATAAAGAGACAACCTATGAATTGGGAGAGAATATTGGCACACCATGCATCTGATAAGAGGTTACAATCTAAAATATAAAAGGAGACTAATACAAAAAAAAACCCAATTTGAAATGGGTAAAAAAATAAAATCTAAATAGACATTTCTCAAAAGAAGATGTACAAAAATGGCCAACAAACATATGAAAAGTGCCCAACATCATGCAAAGATGGAAATTAAAAATACAATAAGATATCACCTCACATTTGTTAGGATGGCTGTTATCAAAAAGAGGGAAGGTAACAAGTGTTGGCAGGAATGTGGAGAAAAGGGAACCTTTCTTGTACATTGTTGATGTGAATATAAATTATTACTATGGAAAACAGTAAGGAGACCCCTCAAAATACTAAAATAGAACTGCCATATAACATTTGTTTGTTTGTGTCCAGATGGTGCCAGAATTCCTAGCTGTGTCCATGATTGCTGTTATTTGAATAAATGGTGCTCAAAGGCCCATGTTAAAGTTTTGGTTGCCAACCTATAGCACTATTAGATTAGGAGAGGGTAGAACCTTTAAGAAGGAAGGTAAAAGATCAAGATGTGATATTTACATGTACCGATACCCCACGGTGATTATATTCATTATGAATTGCAAATATAGACTAATAAAGAAAATTTTGAGAAGTAGGGCCTAAAGGGAGGAAGTTAGCTCCCTGGAGCTATGCCCTTCAAGGGGTTATTGGGACCACAGCTTCCCTCCTCTCTCTTTGCTTCCTGGCTATGTGAGGTGAACAGCTTTCTCTCCTCCCACCATGATGAGCTGCCTCATCACATTTCCAGAAACAGTGGTGTCAGCTGAACATGCTGTGGGCCAAAGTAAACCTTTCCTCTTTTTAAGTTATCTCAGGTACTTGTTAGAGTAACAGAAAGCTGCCTAATACAATGGCAAAGTTATATTTTTACACTTTCAACATTAAAAGCAAAGATCCTAAGAACAACATTAGTACAGATATCAGAAAATAACCCTAGAAAATAAATTTCAGCTCTTTAGGAAATCGCTAATAGGACATAAGTGAGTACAGTTTACCCCCAGGAAGATGGATTGGTCCAATATACTGAAAGTAAAATCCTTTGTCTCATCTCCCCCATGCCTATCTTTTAAAACTATATTCCTTGCTCTGTCTTCAGATGAAACCACTGTACTGAACTTAGAATTTGCTATGCCTGTATTATTTCTTTATGCATGGGTTACGTACATATGTGCCAGAAGCTGTAGAGTATGAATCTTTCACTATATGCATTTGATACTATGATGTAAATGGATCTGTACGCCTCTGTGTCTTGCCTGTTTTCTACATCATGAAGTTCATCCCAGGTAGCTCCTGTTCAGACTGCAGCTTAGCTACTCACTAGCTGTGCATCCTTGGCCAAGTTATTGGACCCTTTGCATCCCAGTTGCCTCATCTGTAAAATGGCATGAACAGCACCCACCCATGGGACTGCTCAACAGGAATTGAGTTCTGTTTTGTGGAGCACTCAGAACTGTGCTTGGCACATCACAAGTGTTATGAGTGGAATGCTGGCTTATTTTAGAGCTGCAGAAAGTGAGTCTCAGAGAGTTGATGCAGCCTGTCTCAGTCATTGAACTGTGATGAGCAGAGCCCCGAGGACCAAACAGGAAGTGAGCCCTTCCATTGGTGCTCTGGTGTGTCCCAGAATTCATAGCTCTCAATAACAGTAATTGTTCAGTAAACATATGTTATATTGAACTGAATTATATGATTTTTTTAATAAACCTATACTAATTCTCCAGTAGTGCCGGTCCTATGTAAACAAGGAACTTTTTTTTAAATCAAGAATTAAAGTTTAGGGCCAGGGATTTAGCTCAGTGGTTTCACCACCTGCTACCCAAGCGCAAGGACCCGAGTTCAATCCCCGGTATGAAAAATTTAAAAAAATGAATTAAAGTTTAGTAGTTAAAGTGGCTTTTTTGTCACTGTAGGAAATATAATTTAAACCATGGGTGAAAGAAGAGATATATAATCATTCAGGGAAAAGGAAGTTATTATGAGAACAACTATTGAGATGGAAAGTCAGGTGGGAAACAGGTATGGAATCTGAAGCAGTGTGGCAGGGTTCTCACACCTAGCTAGCTACTGCTGAGGTAGGGAGGAAGTTGTGGCCTGCTCTAGTGTTCTGTGCAACCCCTGAGAGCCAGAGTACCTCTGAACCGGAGGGGGAGATGAACTCAGAAAGAGCTGATCTCTCTTCTGGCCTCTGAGACCCAGTAGCTGCCTCATTCTGACAAATCCAGGGAACTCCATGGTCCCCCCAGGAAGAGTCAGCCTCCAGAGTCCAGCACAGGGCAAAGAAAGGGATGCCAGCCAGCGAAAGTACCTCCTCGCAAGCAGGAAAAACAGTCCTCTTGGTGACAGGGATCTATGATTATTTGGGGATTTTTTCTAGGTTATTGATGATATCCTCACAAACCAAGATGATGAAGAAAAGAACAAAAAGAAAAAGAAGAAAACCAAAAAAGAGAAGGAAAAGAAAGGAGCAAAGGAAAAACCTAAGGTAAAGAATTTGTTTGTAACTTTAGAAATTTGATTTATTTTCTTTGTAGCACCCTCTTTTTGGCTTTCAACCAACAGAATCATCTCACATCTGCTGAAACTGCAGCCACTCGTTTCCTAGCAAACCATTCTGTCTTCGGACAGTTTTTCATTGTTTTATGACTGACATTCAGTTGCTGTCTTTTCCACGACTTGAAAATATCTCTTAGGATAAGTGGTGGCTTCAACAACTCATGCACTTTTTGTAGCTTTGAATTCTCATTCCTCACAGTAAATTATTCCATTGTCTTTCCTCAAGGGTAAAGAGAAGGAAAAGTACCCGAGAAGGTGACTCCGGGAAAGTAATTTTATCTAATTTAACCCAAGTGTGTTCATTCAGATTTGTCACTGACATTGGCATCTTGGATATATTTTAACAGACATAGTTTTCCTTGCTATCCAAAGGAAATCAGAGGCCTTCCCTTGGAGAGGTTGGTTCCCTTCTGGAGGCGGGGGTGGCCTTCCCAGGTGCTGTTATACCTTGGTGCAGTAATTGCAGGGTCTTCGCCAGGCTCGTAGGAGAAGTGCAGGCTCCTTCTGTGGGATGTGGAGCTTGGGCTTGAGGTGGGTGTCACACTTAAAGTGGATAATGCTGAGTGGCCAGAAACAGCCCCACAGCTGACCAGAAGTGTGATCTCAGTGACCTCCAGGAGTAGATCCCGAAGATTTGGTCCCTCTGTGACCCTAATCTGAATCATTTCACAATACTGGATCCCAAAATGTCCCTATTCACTGCGATTCTAATTTGCATCAGTTCTCAAGAGCAGGTCCCCACATGCCCAGTCTGGGGGCAGAGACAGCTGTAGAAGCTCAGGTGGCAGCAGCCTTGCTCCTCACAGCCCAACGTGTGGCTCCAGCCAGCGCTCAGACCTCTGGATTTCTCTGTGGACAAAGCCACACAAAGGGGCCTGGCAAGTATGCTTGGGAACTGCAGTGAACTCTTACAAAGAGAGGGAAGAGGACACTGTGTGCTGTGGGAGGACATCAGACGCCGTGAGCAGGGGCAGAAGGTGACAGTGGTGAGGTCTGCATGAACACCAGGTCTGGCTGAGGCGATGAAGGCAGCATCTTGTTGCACCCACACCCGTGGCACCTCTGGACCTGAGTGTTGCTTTTACATTGCTCATCTCCTGACCTGGGAGAAGCAGCAAAGCTCTCCCATTTGCCTCAGTTTCCTGTTTAGCCATGCCCCATTGTTGTTCCCTGCAAGAACAGAAGAAAAGAGACCCCTCCCTGCCCACGTGGGCCACAACCCACACTGCTGGCAGATGTGGCAATGAGCTTCTCCGATGACTCCTAGGAACCACGGCAGTAGACCCCACAGCTGCCCAGAATGGCAGGACCAGCTCCTCACAGCTCGTCAGGAGTCACTCCAGTCTCAGGAAGACCCTGCCCTAGTGAACGCACACCCTGCTGGAGCAGCCTGCATCCAACAATGGGTGTGTGACAGTTCCAGGCCAGCCTGTCCCTGCCACATGGATGACTCTGACAGGAGTGCCCGGCTCCCTGCAGCATTGGCTGATGCTGAGCTTCTCTCTCTCCCCAGGGATGCTTCCCACCCCTCCCACCACCCTAGTCTCTGTCCCAGAGTTTCCAGGGACGCCAGCCCCCGAGCCCGCCCAGTGTCCTCTCTGCATCGAGGAGTCCTATCTGACCTGTTCCTGGAAGAAAAAAGACAGCTAGCCCATACAGTTAATTTTTCAAATCCTTGCCTCACTCTGCAAAATAATTTTGAAGAAACTATAAATAAGGAGAATTGAAAGAATTTCAATTTTATTGTAAGCATCTCTTCCTCTAAATATGCATGAGGGAGTCTTACACTTGCAAATTAAAAATTCACTGTTAGGAGCTTGTTCCATATAAATCTGAAATTATCAACTACACAATCTGGTTATTGTTGGATGAGGGTATTTTATTAATTAGTTATTAAAGAACCACTTAATGATGAACAGTATGGGAGAAAAAGCAAAATTTAAGAACATCAGCATTTATGAAGTGCTTACGAATGAAAAAGAAATCCTTCAGAATTACTTAAAAATTAATTTATTCATGAAAAGTACAGATCTACAAAGTGAAAGCATGATTATTAAAAGAAGTGATAATCGCTAATAAAATTGATATAATGTATTTAAATTATGTTACTGCATGCTCTCTGGAGATCAGACTATCTTTCCAATAGACACTTTAAAATCCTACACCAGAATCAACCTAGCACATCTAGAATCGTTCCTGAGACATTCAGATCCCTGAGTGAGAATTCATATATTGACCTGCAGGAAACACATGCCCACCATGGTTAGAGGGAAAGTAGGGGAAGAGGAAAAGGAACCCACTCACCTTACACACGTACCAACTTCCCCACCTGAGCTGTCTCCCCGTGGCCAGCTCAGACTATTCTCCAGGTAATCTTAATATTCACTACTTATCAATGGCTAGTCTGAAAGCTTGGAAAGACTTCATATTGAAAAGTGATGGGATAATCTCTTCAACTCACCTGTTTGAATAGAAAATAGGCTCCTGGTCCCGAGCTGACTGGAGCCCCACTCCACCTGGCTTGCCGCACCCACCTGCAACCAGGAGACAGTGAGGATCCCCGGGCACACCCACCAGCTGCCAGTGTAGCCACATTGGCACCTGCAACAACACACCTCCCCCTTGCCTCTGGCCTCTTGGCTGTGCAGCTACCTGGTTCCTCAATACAGAGGCACAGGGGGACATAAAGGCCATTGTCCTGAGCTGCAGAACTGAACAACAGATAGAGGGCCTCTCTCAGGCTCCCTGAGGAAAACTGAAGCCCACTGGAAAAGTGAAGAGAATCTCTCCAATAAAGGCACACCAGACTACCATACTTGGTAAGTTAGAGGGATCATCACCTCCCATCAGAAACTGGACTATCTTCAAGGGAAAGGCAGCTGGAACCTGCAATACAACCTTGCAGAGTTAAACCCTGCACAAGGACAGCGACCTCAACTTGGGACTTGCAGCCAGAAATCTGCCTGAATTTCACAGGTCTGCTACTGGCTCGCTAAGACTCATTGACTTATATCTGCACACTGCTACCCCCATTGTCTATTGTGACAGCAGAGACATACCCTGAAGGGGGCCCTTCATTTTTATCTTTTATTTGTTATTTTGAAAATTACCACTATTTCTTTTGCTCTTATTTTTAATTTTTTTCTTCTTTTTCTACTCTTTTCAAATTTTTATTTTTCTCTTTTTTCTTTCTTTTCTCTTTTCTTTCTTTCTCCCACTCCTTCACTCCCTTGCTGTCCCACATTGTTCTTCATCTCCCCTTTGTGTCCCTTTCCTGGCCCTAATTCATATTTCTTCTTTATTCTTCTTTTCTTCTCTTTCCTTCTCTCAACTGTGCCCTCTGGCCTCACTGCTAACCTTCCCTTATCCTTCTACCTATCTATCCCTCCCTCCCCAACTCCTTCTAACTCCCTATCCCAAAGGATAAACTTGCTATATTGAAGAGTTTATTCACTATAAACATTTGTTGGGTTGGTCCTTGATTTTGATTTAATTTATACTGTTAAAGGTGATAGATTAATAACTACCACAAATTGTCATTTTCTGAGAGGTATTTGATGCTGTGGTGTTGCTGATTGTATCACTTGGGCTAAGATGCTGTGATTGATCTAATCAGTTGTCCTTCCTGGTATAATGAAAATAAGATAGCCTCAGAGCCATTAGAGACTCAAAACCTAAAGACCTGCTATACCTGGAAGACATCTCTGAGAAGCAATCATTCCATAAGGGTTCTAAATACATCAACAAAGATACTTACAATAAGCAACTTCAAAGTATCAACCCAGGAACTAAACCAAGGACAGTGCCAAAAACAAAAATGAAAAGACATTTAAGCAAGGCACAAACTCAGGCTTCCACCCCCCAAAAGGCAAATTCTGGGGGAAATGAGGTGGAAAAGTCTGATAATCAACCACCTGGACACCCCGAACTGATAGCACAGGAAGTAACAAAACAGATGAATGAGGCTCTAGAGAAATTCAAAGCAGAAATAATCTCCTAGATAACTACAGAGATGGTGAGCACAGTGAAAGACATGATTAGAGGCTCTAGAACAGAAACAGATAAAAAAAATGGATGAGCTCAGAAATATGCTGGAAGCCATGAATGTGCAGCATAAGAAAGAAATAGAAAGCATGATCAACCAACATAAGAAAGAAATGGAATCCATGAAACATATTCAAGCAGATATTCAGGAGATTAAAAACTCCATCGAAAGTATGCACAACAGATTAACAGAATCTGAAGATACAATATCAATATAGAAGACAGGATTGTGGTTAAGGACCATGAAAACAGAGATTTCTTAGAAATAGTAAGGAATCACGAGAAATCAATCCAGCAGCTGCTAGACAATGCAAAGAAGAATAACATAAGACTGATAGGAGTCCACAAAAAAAAACAGAAGAAAGTACAATTGACATTAAAAAACCATTCACAGAAGTAATAGTAGAAAACTTCCCAGACAGAGGTGGAGAATTGGACATACAGATAAGTGAGGCATATAGAACTCCACCTAGCCACGATCAAAAAAAATCTACACCTAGACATATAATAGTCAAGATCCCAGAAACCCAACAGAAGAACAAAATTCTACAGGCAGTTAGAGAAAAGAAACAAATCACCTACAAAGGAAAGCCCATTAGAATCACAGCAGACTTCTCAACACAAAACCTCAAATCAAGGAGAGCCTGGAGAGAAGTATTTCAAGCCCTAAAAGAAAATAACTTCCAACCTAGACTGTTGCATCCTGCAAAATAATCTTTCAAAATTGATAGGGAAATTAGAAACTTCTACAACAAAGAACACCTGAGGTATTTCATGAACACCAAACCAGCACTCCAAACAATTCTAAGCAATATCCTAGAAAAAGACAATGAAGGTCCCAACTCCATGAGGCCCAACAGGGGGAAGCCACCAGGCAAGGTAAGA